TGTTCTTCACCTTGCTCAGAACTGCCTTCGCGTTTCGGGGTGACAGGGTGATAGACAGAGCCCCGTTCTTCCGCTGGGCAGTGGAGGGCAGAGAAGGCTTAGTGTGAGGACAGCACCCCTGGCCAGGAGTGTGAGGCAGAGGGGGGTGGAGGTCTCGAAAGTCTCTCCCATCCCAACCCCATCCACTGAGGTACAGGAACCCCCACCCGCGGGGGACCCTGCAGTGTGGGACCCTCACCCGAAGCACTGGCTGCAGCACTGAGCTCTTGCGTGTGGCTCTCTTGAGGCGTTCGCTGGCCAGCTTGCTGCCCTCGTCGTGACAGGTGAAGGCTCGGGCGGGGCTGAAGAGGGGGTCCCTGGTGACAGGAGCCCCTGGCTCGGCCCGCAGTCCTCCTTTGCTCTTGGCTTTCTTCTTGCCGGGCGCTCCAGGCGCCCTCCGTCCCGGGGCCCTCTCCAGCTTGGTGCCCACCTTGGCCTTTACTGCCCGCCTCTTGATCTTGACCTCACCCTCGGAGCTGGACAGGTGGCAGGCTCCTGGGAGGGGGGAGGAGCGGCATTGCAGGGGGTCCCGCCTCCACAGGCCCACCTGCCCACCTTGTGCCCTGATGCTGACCTGGCAGCCCTTGACGTTCCTTCTTCTTCTTCGCCTTCTGGTTAACCTCCATCTTGACCACGGAGGAGGGTGAGGGTCCAAGCATGGCCATGCCAGCCCCCAGCAATGCCAGCCCTGGCTCCTTGGGCGGTGCCTCAACTCCCAGGGGGCTTCCACCGTCCTCACTGTCTGAGCCACTGCCTGAGAGGGAGGTGGGGGCCAGTGACCCAGCACCCAGGGGGCACCAGGCTTGGGGGACTGGTCACCATGGCCCCTCCTGAGAGGGAGGGAGGTCCGCACTCCTGGGCCAGTGCACGGGTCCATTTTTCTCTTTCACCCTGGGTACGGGCTCCTGCCTGGGGGGGTGTCCTTCAGTCCCCCTCCAGTCTCCAGCCTCCCTGCCCCCACCTTGCTCTTCTTCAGCTGTTGGGGGCTGGCCACCCCCTGCCTCAGTCCTGCTTCCTCTTCCCCTCGGCTGAGGCGCCCTCCTTTGTCTTTGTCCTGGAGGCCCCAGGGGGACTGAGGGGGAAGTGTCTGTTTGTCCAGGAGGGTCCTGGATTATGTGCTGCCTGGGCCAGCTAGCAGTTGCAGGTCGGCCAGGCCACCACTGAGGAAGCAGCTGGACACCAGGGGCTATTTTTACTCCACTTTCCAGGATATTACCCCAGTGAGGGCACCCAGATAGGCACTGAACCCTGACCCTGGGGTCACCTTCGAGATTACCCTGCTCTCCTGCCACATCTGTCCAGCCAGAGTGCTTCTCTCTGTTGCATGCCCCCAGACCTGACCTGGCTCTGGAGTGGGTCAGTCCCTCCTCACCCTCCCCGGGGACCCCAGGGACTGTAGCCAGATGCCCATGTCGTCCTGCTCTGACCTGGCAGCCTTGGCCCAGCCCGTTCTCAGCCCCTCCATGGCCAGCTCAGCGCAAACTTGCCTGCCTCGGGCTTGCCCAGGAACTTGGGTGTGTCCTTGCTGCTGTGGCCTTCGGACTGCGGGGGACGGGTCGTGCCTGCCACCTGGGTGCTCTTGGCCCGGGACAGCTGTTTGCGGGACCGTCCACCCGGGATGGCCGCCTTCCGCAGGAAGGGGCTCAGACCCGTGGGCAGCCCCTTGTTCTTGGCCTTTGGCTTTAGCTGGGCCACCTTGTGGGTGACCACAGCAGTCAGCTTGCCTGGGGGACCATCCTTGCATGGTGTCTTCTCCTGTGGGTGACCAGAGGCGACAGCTCTAACTACAGGGTCTGCCCTGAGGTGTTTCGCCTGTCCCAAGGGTAGCACCCCCACACGGCCCGTCCAGGATCACGCCTGTGGGTCAGATCCTGGTCCAACCTCCCCAGTGCAGAGTGATGGGGGAACAGCGTTGCCTCTACCACTTGTGTCCATCTATCTGATGGCCAGTCCTGCTGTTGGGCCCCTGGGCCCTTAGGCCGGGCACTGGCTTGGGTGGGGTGGGGAACCTCTTCCCGCCCTTGGCAGGCAGCAGCCTTGGCCCGAGCTGTGGGGTGCTCACCGCAGGGGCAGCCTGTAGGCCCATGTAGATGCCTCGGTCCAGTCGGCTCCGTTTTTCAGGGGGCTCCCCAGCACCCTGCAGCTCTGCACACAGCAGGCTCAAGCTGGTCCGCACTGGCCTGGGCGCAGAGCTGCGGGGGGAGAGGCAGGGGCTGTTGGGCCTGGTCCTTCCACTCTGCCAGTCCATGGGGCTCTGGGTCACTTAGTCCTGCCCAGCCCCAGGGATCTTCTCCCGGGGCCTCTGCTGACCGTCAGCCCGGCGCCTATCCTGCTGGAGCTCATAGTACATGTGTCTCCCGTCCCCCTCAGCTGAGGTGACCTCAGGATCAGGAATGGGGGCACCAGGAACGGGGCTGAGGGGCTGGGCTCTGCAGGGAAGGGGTGGATGAGGAGAGGAGGGCACAGCCAGCATCCAGACAATGCTAGATCACCGCTGTGTGACGAGGGACTGGGCGGGGGGCACGGGGAGCTGCCCGGGGCCCCATGATTCAGCCAGGGATGGGGGTGGGGTGGGGGCCGCAGAGCTGCTTGGGGACTCAAGGTTCAGCCAGGCTTCGTCTCCTGTGCATTCCGACTCTAGTTTCAAGGGAAGTGCCATTTTCCTGCGCTCACTGTCCACGCCCCAGATGGGCTCAGGAAGCTAAGTCTCAGCTCCCTCAACCTCAGCAGGTCGAGATGGAGCTGTGGGCCATGTGGATGCAGCCATGGAGGCCACACAGGGGCCCCTGACACCCCAGAGCTGCTCACTGCACACAGGAAACAGGCTGGGGAGTTGGGCTGTCCTCCCCTCTGTCCTTGGTCAGTTAGGGCTAGGAGTTTGGATAGTTACCTAGGCCTCCCAGGCCCTCACCTTGCAGTGCCCCTAGGTGTCCGGGGAGGAGACTGACCCTCTAGCTATGTGGGTGTCACCTCACTGAGTTGTCAGGTGAGACCTGGCTTCCCTGAGGTAGGACAGTGGCTGCTACGGAGACGTGGCGCCAGGCAGCTCCGAGGGGCACCCTCGCCGGGTCCTGCCTCCTGTGCACCCCACCACCCAGCAGCCCCTCCCACTCTCGCTGGTTCTCAGGGGGCTCCCTGCAGGGTGATACCTGGGCCAGGTGGAGCTCAGCCCAGGGAGGCTCCCCCACTACGCGGCACATCCTCCTTCCAACCACGGCCAACCCCCCGCCCCTGCCACCTCCCTGCATTTGCTAATGTTTTGTGACATAAAGCCCTGAGATTAATTTTTTTGCCTCTGTCTTAATTGAAGGAACCATTTAGTGCAGATTTAACTATTATTACCAAATCATCAGGATTGATGCAGCGCGAGCCGGCTCGCGCCAATCGTGTTTGGAGGAGCTCGGAGGATTTATGCAAATGGGCCTGCCGGGAGAGGCAATTTGCAGTCGAGAAGGACAATTATACCAGGCCCGAGAGTGCGCCAGCGGCCGCGGGGCGGGTAATGGGTAATAACTCCGGCGGCCGAGCCGCACGCAGCGTGACCAACAGCTCAGAGCGTGCAGATCAAGAGGCAGCCACGCCACACCACGCCGCCTCGCTGGGGTGCAGCCGGGGTGCAGGGCAAGCTGCGTGGTGGGCTCTGGGGCTGTGGCCTCCCAGGAAGGCCGAGGTGGAGGTGTTGGCCAGGGCTGGCAGGCAGCAGAGGGGAGGGGATGCCTGTTCTTGATGGCACCCCCACCTCACAGGCCCTGTACTGCCGGGCTCGAGGGGGTGCAGGGGGCACCCTGGATGGCCTGGGCGGCGCAGTCTAGGACTCACCTGACTTTCCTGCTGTCACTCCTGGCTAGCTGGCCCCCGGGGCGCAGGCTGGGCAAGGAGCTGGAGTGCTTTCTCTTCCGGGGGCGTCCAGGCCCTCTCCTTGCGGGGCTCCGAGAGCTCTCCTCTCTCCTGGGGACCACAGGAGGGCAGTCAGTGATGAAGGGCCCTTCCAGGACTGGACTAGTGGTCCAGCCTGAGTACCAGGAGAGGCGGCCAGGCCAAGCCCCTCCCGCAGCCCTCCTGCCAGTCACTGCCCCTCAGCCATCCTGTGCGCTGTCCACTCACTGCATTGATGGGCACCTGCCAAACCCCGACTTTCTGGCCTGCTCCCAGAATCCCCTCTGCCCCAACCCTGGTCTCCCAGCATCCCCTCCGAT